AGGATCAAATTACAAAAAGCCTTCAGCGTTTGCGTTTGACCAAAACAGACTATTGTTTTGTGTACAATTTTATGTTTTCCTTGATTTATACCTCCAAAGAAACAAGTTTATTGAATTCAGGCCAAAAAGTAAATATCAGATGTTAAAGTAATACATTCATTCATGCAATAATGGTCAAAAATGAAGTGTTTTAATGTGTTTCTTTATATTCAGTTCAAAAGAAAACATTTGCATCTTTAACTTCATCTATCTGACAACCATGGCTGCAATTAAATAAAACAACCACTGGTTTTATAGAAGTACATCTTCCAGCAGGATTTCATGTAATTTAGATTATCGCCATCTAATTAAAAGTTCAATGCCAGAATAGTCCAATTGAGGTCTGGCTTTAGCGACCCAGAGCGTCTCAGCGGCAGGTTTATAGTCCCCAAATCAACCAGCAGGAGGCAGTAGTGGTTCATGATGTTTTGTTTTGTCATTTTTTTTAGTTATTGAGGCAAAAGTTCAGATTTTCCATAAACCAAAACCAACTCACTCATTTTCTTAAACGCGTCATCTTCAGTAAAGTCGCTGGGAGCTGGTGCCTATCTCTAGCTGTCTCCAGGTAATTGGTAGGGGACAGACAAGTCGCTCCATCCCAGGGTCACAAACAAGACATACAAGCATTTATTCACATATGCCTAGAGACAATTTAGAGGCACCAGTTAAACAAAATTAGCATGTTTTTGGCTTGTGGGAGGAAATCTGCCAACCCAATAAAGGGAAATCACTTTAACTCCACCCAGAAAGGCAATAGTTGGGATTCAAACCAGCAACCTTTTCACTGTGACGCAAACGTGCTTTCAACTTTGCCACCATACAGCTCTTTACAACATCCAGTTCCTCGAAAGGTTTAAATCCATACAAAAGTACATCATAGAACATTGTAGTAAATCTGTAAGGCCTGAGTCACACAGCAGGATTTTTAAATTGGTGGTAAAAAAATAAATCAACAGTTTTGGTTGTGTGGTATCTGTCAAAAACTAGCATGGTGAAGGAGGAGCGTGTGGAAATCTCTAACTTTTTAACAATTAATTAGTGCCAAAGAACTTATTGACCTAGTCAGACTAGTCAGTTAACCCACATCAGTAGACAAGATATGTGTTTGTTAACTCATTAACTAGTAGATCTACTGGTTAGTAAAATATATTAGTCCCTATTCTGTTTATCGAATCATGCACCAAACTAAATCGGAATACCCAAAAATCTTTTTAAAAAATTATGATTTTTTTTCAACAAAATATCATTATCATTGACTTCATCTTCACCAAATTACAACAATTGTTATTACTAGGGATGCAACGGTATGCGGTAAAATACCGGACCGTTCGGTACGCCCTGCACGGGACAATCCGCCCTCCTGTCCCGCGGGACTTCGGTACTCCCATTGATTTTGCGCTGCTCTTTTATTTCATGCTTGGCACCATGCACGTTTGCCGGTCCAGGTAGATGAAAGGCCCACCCCCAAGTTAATGTCCAATCACCGTTGTCCATCCGCGTCCTCACTCACAAACTCACTACAGTTAGGCGGCTGGCTAAGAATGAAGAGACACGAGGAAAGGGCGAGCTGTAGTGGAGTTGAAAGGAAAGAGTTTGAAGAGGCACCAGGCTCTTTTAAATCTTTAAATTTGGTTTTCAACATTTAATGAAGACGCTCGACCGACGTTATTCTGTGCCCAGTTGCACACATTTTAGTCAGGTCGTCATCCCTGGTCTTTACGACAAAACGCGCAACGCCATCGAGAGTGATTTGGCTAAGGCAGAAAGCCTCGCACTGACAACTGATAGTTGGACTTCTCAGGCAACGCAGAGCTACATGACTGTGACGGCTCACTACATGCTGGACTGGGAGATGAAAAGCGCCGTGCTGCAGACTCGCCCCCTCTATGAAAGCCACACATCTTAGGTGTGTTCTTGCTGTGTCTTTCTAAATCCATGCTTTCGTTCTTTTTTTTAAACACAGAAACAGTTTTGTTTACCTGTTTGTAGCTACAGTTTCGCCGACGGTTGCCGGCTTCTTCAGGCTGACGCTGATGGTGGCGCGTCACTTCCTTCTCCGTTTATCTGCGGGCAGCAGAGGTCTGCTGCCCGCAGATAAACGGAGAAGGAAGTGACGCGCCACCATCAGCGTCAGCCTGAAGAAGCCGGCAGCCGTCGGCGAAACTGTAGCTACAAACAGGTAAACAAAACTGTTTCTGTGTTTAAAAAAGAATGAAAGCATGGAAAGCCACACAAGTGCGCATTTAGCAGAAGAGATAAAAATGCAGTCACCGAGTGGAAGCTGGAGCGGCCAAACAAAACTATACCCGTCGCCACAGATAATGCTCCAAACATTGTTAATGCAGTTAATGAAACTGTTGAGCTGGGACCCCAGATTAGCTGTTTTGCTCACACTGTGAATCTCGCTGCAAAGAGGGTTGTGTCAATCAACGGTGTGTCCCGCCTCCTTGGGAAAGTGAGGAAAGTTGTCACCTTTTTTCACCACAGCCAACCAAGCACTTGGTTCATTTATTCCATACTGTGATGTTACAGCACAAGCTAACTCCTGTTTGTTAAAACGCAAAATGCACTTTTACTTTTGCATTGCTTACCTCATGTATCACGTATCATGTTTGGGAACCATTAGAATATTTTCAAGTGTCTTTGTTTACATTTTGTAATTTTTTTAAATATATTTTATAATGCATACAAGTGATAATTGAAAGAGGGTATTAGTGTTCAATGCAGATAATGTTAACTTATTTCATATACTGATGTTCTTACAATTGTGACATTCTGTTTTCGCTCTGAAGAAAAATAAAATGCATGTTTTGGAATAAACGCTGTCTCCTTCTGCACAAACATGTACCGAACCGTCCCGTGGACCGTGGCCTAAGTACCAAGGTACGGACCGTACCGTGGGCTACCTGTACCGTTGCACCCCTAGTTATTACCTTTGTAAAAAATGCTAATGACTTTTTTATATATCTTTTTTTTTCTCATCTTGAGGCCATTACGAGACAAACATTTTTGTAGATACGTATAATTGCAAAATGAAAAAAATAGTGTCAGGTTATATCAAGTCTTGGTGAAAATTTCTCTGTCGCATCAAAAAGCTGAAACTTTAAAAAGTCTTTGTAAAACAGAAAAAAGGCTTCAGCAACATAATTATAATATAAAACAATAGTTTTATACTTATTTACAAAATCAAATAGTTCACATTTATATGTTTGTATGTGAGACATCTTTATTTAACAGAAATATGGTTTTCCTGCCTCATTTGCAATAACTGTGTGAAGTACAATATTTTACTAAAACATCTGAATATCCATCTATCCAACCATTCTTCCATTTTTGGCTGCTTATCTGGGTTGGGTCGCGGGTGCAGTAGCTTAAAGTAGTGGTAACAGCCTCCTCAGAGTCTTACTCCACCCACATTTCATATTTGAAAAATGCGGCCCAAAGAGGCGTTTCCTGTAAGACCGAGAAGGCGGAGCTACGGCCGTGATTGACATACTGAAATTTGAATACAGATGGCGACGGAGAGCGACACTAGCTCAGAGCAGTCATTCGAGGTGGAGGACTTTTCCCCACCTTCTTCCCCAGAGGATAGGGAGGAGGGCTTATTGGGGGAAGCAAGCGGTCCTGAACCGTATCTTTTTGAGCCACTAGCTCGTGAGTTGTCAGAGGCCCCTGGAGTCGAGCCAGCAGGAGTATCAAGGCATCGAATGGGTCCAGTCTCTGAGTGGTAAGTAGCTTTTAGCCACAGCTAGCTATATTTAGCTTAGCTAAAAGTAATATTGTATGACTGCCTCGACAGGTGCACCTGCGGCCACTGCACATCATTGTCTGCCAGAGAAAATGTGTGCTGCAGAGAAACGCCCAAGGTATAAAAATAAAAGTACCCCACCATGAGAAAAGCATTCTGTAATGTACACATTTGTTACACAATCACTAACATCATACTAATATTGAACTCTTATAGACCTGATATCAGTTGTTCTTTGTCATAGGTAATGCTCAGGTGTCAGCAGGTGGGTGTAACCTCCTGCATAACAGAGCATCCTGGTTTTGAGGCTGTTGCTCTGAATCCCTACGTGTTGCAGGCAGTTTATGGCACCTTTCTGCAACTCTATGGGGAGATGCAGGAGACTACGCTCAACAGGTAAGACAACTGTCAAATTACTTTTTTTATGAATACTTTATAACTCATACCACCTCTTTCTCAGCTGTTACAGACATCTGGCGTACCGGAATGTGGTCAGGTGGTGTTGGGGTTACCTGGGACAGCACGTTCGTGTTGTGATCCCGTCATGCGCTGTCTCCAGAATAAGGCAGGAGTTCCCAGAAGACGGTGCATACAAAGGATTCCTCCCTCCTCTGAACTAATATATATTTTTTTGATTAAATAAATGTTATAATATATATTTCCTGTATTGATTCCTGTCCATAAAAAGCTGCATAAATCACAAAACGGTAAATGCACTTCTTTACACTTTGACATTATTTATATATACACACATATAGCCACATACTTTCAAATGAGCTCTTACAACAGTAAGGTTCTAATTCGGGGTTAATTAATGCTGCTGTAACAAGTGAGTTTACACCCTGTGTGATTAATGAAGTCTATTCTAGAGCAGGTTCAATTAGGTAAAAATGAATGATAATAAATGTGATATATGTATTTATACACATCAAAATATCAATATAATTGTATTTAAAAAGACACAATTGCGCTTTAAAGATAACATTTATTATAGCTACTACTAAGACAATGTTAGATAACAATCTGATCATAACTTTCAAGATTTTTGACAAAACTCTAAACCACAAGCAGAGATTCTGGAGCCATGTGAGGAGAGGTTGGGCCAACAGTGATGTTTCATAGGTTCCTTAGACTGGAGGTAGCTTTCACTGTGATGACAAACGTGGAGATGGATCCCGGGAGCACAGGTTTTTTTGTTACAAGATCAGGAGGCTCTAAGGAAAAAGTAATATTAGTATGACTAGTATGACTTACAAAAGCAAGACTGGTGAGTTTTGCTATGTTACATACGGCCAAGATTTTCAAGTTGTATGGGAGCCACAGAGCAGAAAGGTTGTAGAGATCAATAGACATCTGGGAGGTGGACAGCATGAGTCACGAGTGGATGAGCATAAAGATCCATAATGACGACAGGTAACTCCTCTGTCGTACAGTGGTGTGCAGCCTGGCTGAGGAGGAGAAAAGGAGAAACCACACAGAGTAGAGTACTAACTAATAATTACAATCTCCTGTGTAGCTCACCTGACGTGCACTTTAAAACCTGGACCTGTGCCTGCTCACAGCATCCCGTTTATCTGGTCTTTGGAACTGGGCACAGAGCGGTTCTGGAACCGTAATTTTGTCCGAGTACTCCTGATATGGGAGAGGATCCACCACCACAGAGTCGAACAGCAGGTCCATAAGCTTGTGCACATATACTGGAAAAGGGTTTTCAGTATTACAATAGCTCTCCATGACATCATTTTGGTTTTATCATACAATATATGACATACATGAGGTTGGATTGGTCTTCAGGGCTCTCACTGTGTAGTCTCCACGTTTGTACTTTGGGTACACTACAGCATATCTCAGCTCACCAGTTGCTGTTGCTGCATGTGAGCGTGCTGCATTTTCATTATAGTGCATTGCAGCAATTTGTAATCTGAAATAATCAAATAAACAAACCATGTAGATTTGAGGCAAAATTCTACATTTCATGCTAAAATTTGAACAATTAGAGGCATTAATTTGAACTTTTATTGTATTCATTACCTAGACAGCATTCCTTTGAAGGAGAAGACTTGACTTTTTGGAGTAAATCTGATGATGAGGCTGTGGAAAGCCTCCAAGGTGGATGTGTGGTACTGAGGGCTTATCTTCTCTACGTCCTTCACAAACCGTGGAGCTAACAGAATGGCAGTGAGCTTCTCACATGATGCTGTGCCTACGTAGAAAATGTTAATTACAAAAATTACAATTTGATCAACTTTAGAATGTTGCTATTATTTCCATTGAGAAAAAGTTACCCATAGCTGACATTTTTAGATGACAAATGTATGAAAGAGTGACTAATAGTGCTGTAGACAGGTGTGGTCATTACTTACGGCATTTTAGTACATATTATGTCAATTATGGCTGTTCTGCCTAAAACCATGAGTTGTGTGGCGCACTCGTGTGTTTAAATTTCTGCACAGCATTTTATTCTTAGTAATTAATTGCTGTTGGCCAAATGGTGGTGTGTGACCTTAGCAGCTACATGTGATGTCTGTTACTCACATGCTCAAAAAATATTTCTCCATGTTGAAGGAGGTGAAGACAAATATTCTGTTGTGGGGTGACGTGTTTTAAATGTAAATAAACCAAACAGTAAAGGCTCAGCTGTAATGAGTACATGCTACACTTACTTGGTTTGAGCCACTGTCTTGCCTGTTCTCCATCCAGAGGTGCATGCAGACAGCTAGGGAACAGGGCGTTGTCATGGCTGTGCACATTTTGGATGTGGTTGGCAACTGAAGTCCACTTTGCTACTGCCTCCTGTCCTGAGGAGGAACTGGATGCTGACCAGTAGAGGTGGTTCACCACACTTTGCTTCCACAGTCTCACATCCTGGGTCGTCTTTCTCTTCCCCAGCTCTTCGATTTTCTTACCAATTCCTGGAGAGCCAAATAGACCCACATTTAAAATAGAAAAAAAAATCCTGTAATATTCACTATATACATCCCCAAAGATTACCTTTTCCCATGTGCCAGGGGTCAAAGTAGTGACTGATTTCCTTTTTTTCCTCCCTCAAATACTTCTGCACTCCTGTGTGGCGGTCAGTCACGACTTGCTGCACATCGACCCCCCTCTCCAAAAGTGTGCTCAGACTTCGCACAAATCCCTCCTTCTCCATTCGCACACTATTCCCAACTTCATTGCTCTGAAAATAAACATAATTCTCCATTGATCTGTGAATAATTAACCATTAAATGTTTTGGAATCATCAGGTAATGTTGTACCTGTACAAGTTGGATATCAATAACTTTGTTTCTTTTGAGATCCATCATGGTGCAGCTGCCATATTTGGCTGAGTGTCCTTCAAGAAATGCAAGTTATTACTTAATTTACATTTGATAGCAAAGGAATAAAATAAATAAATTTAAACGTATTCACCAGGTGAATCAGCTCGCATGTCACCACCAAGAGTCACAGGTCCAGATTCAGTAGCCTCCTGGATGATATCAGCTTGCTCTAGCTGCCACTGCCAGCTCACTGTTGGAATTAACAGCTTTGCCTGATGCCGACAGAATGACTGCTTGGACAGTCCCTGCACATTGAAGGCACCCAGGAACTAAAATATGAAAAGTTACGACATGAAATGAGAGACGCACAGACCTTATCAAAACTAACCTAAACAGTTTTGGCCTATACCTTAGAAATCTGGCTAAATGATGAGCCTGTGAAAAGGACAGCAGCACAGAGCTGGAGGTTTCCTGCTGGGATGCTGTTCACCATGGGCTGACTGGACCATTCATTGTAGTGCGCACAGCATGAACACCGTTGTGTCACACGGAGCAGTGTGCCGACTGTTGTCGTGTTCACAACACAACGACCGGTACAAACGGGACACCTTGGGGTGTGGACGCAGCTCTGGGACTTTGTGGAAGATGAATTTCCGTCACGGTACCTGTGTCACAAGACACACTGCGGCTGGGAGCTCTAAACTGTGTGGCTATGTAAAATACAAAGAAGCAGCACATTTATAAATGTTTAAAATAGCATAAAATCACGTGTAACAATAATCTGTAAAACAAATTAAAACTAGAAGGTAATAATAAAATGTTTACATAGAAGATTATTAAAAATAATTCACCTTTGCTACGTCGATAAGGCTTTACATGAGCCTGGACAAGTGCATTTTTGCAGATTACTAAATCAGTCTGACAGCCAACGTCTTGGGTAGATTTAGCCTGAAACAAAAAATAGAAGCACATTGTTGTTGGAGTTTATAAAGTCATATAATATACAAAAGAAACTGTCCAATATATATATATATATATATATATATATATATATATATAGGCGCTTTATAACATTCCTAGTGTGTGATCGTTATTATAATGTCAAAGTCAGTCACATATGATGTGAAGAACCTGAAATGCGACCTCCTGAACAGAATTCCTCACAGAACCGGGTTAGGCTTTGGTGTAAAGCTGGATTTCACGCTGTAATGATGTCTGTCAACTAGTGCTGCGTTAGAGCCACTGTTGCTGAATTACCGACTGACACAAAAACAACCCGAATTTTCTCCGAGCCTGACAGAAATAGTCAAGTGGACCTTTTTTGTCGGCCAGGGCTTTGAGAAATGTTCCGATTCGCCGCTGATTCTAACCTTACATCCCGTTCCACATTTTGTGAACTTGACAAATTAGCCCGAAGGCAGTGCAGGCTGATATTAGCTAAATGGAGTGAACCACGTCTCTCAAACTTTGCATTTAGGTAGGAAATTGTCTTTAGAAGATGCTAACTTTTATTTAGCTTACTCACCTCAGACTGGAGCCCGCCATGGTGTTGGAGCAGAGTCGGTGGGCTGCATCTAATTCGTGGAAGAGCCACGGTGGGCACGGCCTCCCTCTTCAAACGGAGACGTGCAGAATAACCCAGTTCAAACTCCATCATGTTGGCGAAGGAATCGCGGGTAAAATGCTGGTTGCAGACTACAGCACCAGGCGGGAGCTGACTGTTTTCCAGTACACCGATTGCGCGCAACCACTGGCGCCTAATTTCTAAGTCCAGTGGAAAGGAGTGCAACCCCACAGAGCCACCACAACCAACTACACTACACCTTTTAACCATACTAACACGATATGGAACACTAAACCTGAATTACTTTCCTAATAAAACTAACAGCTAAACACTAACTAAACTACAATATCTAACAGCCAAGCTAACACTAAATAAGTATGTATAACACTAAAAGCTATGCTAAAGACTAGAATATGCTAATGATATATGCTAACGATATGTAACACTAAACCTGAATTACTTTCCTAATAAAACTAACAGCTAAACACTAACTAAACTACAATATCTAACAGCCAAGCTAACACTAAATAAGTATGTATAACACTAAAAGCTATGCTAAAGACTAGAATATGCTAATGATATATGCTAATGCTGAACTACCGCTAACCGTCCTACACTCGCTTGCAAATCCAACTCCCAACTCGCCACAGGGCGTGGCCGAGACTCTCGTTGCTTTATAACTTTGGCACAAGAGCTGCTACGTAGTACTCTACTGGTTTACGTAGTATCTTACTCTTTAGCCATTGGCTAAAATTTATTCAAAATGTGTCAAATTCTGTGTTTTAAGCTGAAGGTGGCGCATTACTGTGGTTTTTAGGCTGAAAAATTAATTTTTAAAGAAAATGCACCAAAATGCTAAAATAATGAATACACACATTTAAAACACTATTAGACACTCATTTATACAGTTCATCAGCAAAAAAAAGTTAATTTAGACGTTACTTGCTCTTTAAGCAGAGAGGCCCAGACTTCCCTCTTTACCCAGCCTCTGGGGGCCAGCTCCTCCAGGGGAATCCCAAGGCATTCTTTGGCCAGCCAAGAGACATAGGGTGTTTCTCAATGCCAAGGAACCTCGCCTTGATGTCCTGGTTTTGCCCCGGTTGTCTAGGAGATACAACATCAGGAACCGCTAAGACGTGTTTCAATGTTCATGTTCTACCGAGGCGTCTGTCTTCCGTTTGTTAGCCGTTTAGCTAACTTGGCAATGATGCACAGAATGCACCTTGTAGCCAAGCCTTGGTCAAAAATTTCCCAGAATACACTGCTGTATTTTTAAAAGGATGGCGGATTAGAAGCCGGCAGATACTTCGGGGGTAAATTTAAAGTTTAAATGTAAGTCAACTAATTGTATTTATCGGGCTGATATCTGGAATGTTTTTTATATCCAAAAAAGTTATCTATGTTGGTTAGTTGCTTAGTAGTTGCAGCCTTGGTGGCTAGCAGGTAGTAACTCGCTTACATATTTAAAGGGGCATTATGGAAGTTTGACAGCCAAAACATGTATAGAAATAATAAATGTCTTCTTCATACATTCTCCTGCAATGCCCTGGTCCTGTAGAATGAGTCCTGGCGTTTTTACTGTGATTGCCTGTTTTTCTGTAAAATCACAGAAAAAGAGAGATGCTCGGGTCGAGCAGGCTGCTTCATGCGCGTTCACAGTCAGGCATCGCCCGTAGCATTTGCTATCAGTAGCTTTAGCAGCAGAGAGTGAGGTAGTGCCAACTCAGCGACTTTGTCGCTGTTCCTAACGCCTAGTGATGAACCTAGCTACATTTCGGAGGACCCTTAGCTACTTTCTTCTAGATATTTCCTGCAAATTAGCAACAAAATTGCCATTTTCGTTCCGAACCGTTCTTTGAAAGTTGTTTTAGCTGTAATCAAGGATATAAATATTACAGATACCTGAGATGCCATTGGTGCTTTAGCTCACCTAGTTAGACATCAGACTCTCATGCAGGAGACCCGTGTTTGATTCTGGGTGTGAGCATAGTTTATTTAGAGTTTCTTTTTTACAGTAATGGTATATTTTTTTACAGTGGCCCAAATTTTTATTTGAGACTCGCCAAACGGCATTGAAATCACAGATAAAAAAGATGTGGGTTCAACTTTCATTTTGGAACAATTTTTCAAGCAAGGGAAGGGCATGATCTGAGCATGCAGGAGGACTGACCCATCTTAAACCTTTGTCGGTTGTGCTGAAGAGAAAGGTACAGAACCAAATTATTTAATTAATTATCTGCGTGTTCTCCTGTCCTCTGTCCTCCGGGCCACAGACACACACACACACACACACACACACTCACACACACACACACACACACACACACACACACACACACACACACACACACACACACACACACACACACACAAACACGGTATTTTCGTTAAAGAATGTGCACGTACAGCATGCGCGCCTCGTGCACGAGCCTACTATTGAAGCTGCCGTTACGCTTTTGGCCTGAGGGGGCAATCGCGAGCATAAAAATTCAAAACTCCGTAAAGTCCCTTTAATTTAACAAATATATACACAATTTAAGAAGTAAAAGGCTTGTTATATATTTATATTGAAACTTATACGTAAAAAAAATAACGTCATGTGACATTACGTGACCGCCGCAAGTCTGTTCCATTTAACCATTTTCTTTGACCAAGGAAGAACAGTGTCCTCGCAAGGCATCGCCAGGCGCCTTGACATTGAGAAACACCCATAGTCTCTCCAGCGTTTCCTCGGTCTTCCTTTAGGCCTCCTCCCGGTTGGACGTGCCCGAAAAACCTCACCAGGGTGTCATCCAGGAGGCATCCTAACCAGATGCCCGAGCCGCCTCAACTTACTCCTCTCGTTGTGGAGGAGCAGTGGGTCTACTCCTAGCCCCTCCTGGATGACCGAGCATCCTTTCTCTGAAGGAGGGCCCAGCCACCCTGCGGAGAAAACGCATTTCGGCCGCTTGCATCCGTAATCTTGTTCATTCTATCTTTCCCCAAATATCGTGGCCATAGATGAAGGTTGGAACGTAGATCCACCAGTAAATCGAGAGCTTTTCTAATGAATTCATTGTGTTAGACACTTGAATATATTCAGTGGTTTCCAACTAAATCGGCCTCAGTTAAATAATCAATGCTCTGAAATAAAATTTAACTTTTTTGGGTAAAAATTTGATTAAATCTTTGGTAAATTTACTTGGAAACATTTATTAATCCATTACATAAAAAAAGCTTAAGTTAAAAATAGTGGTTTTTGTGTGAATGTGTGTAAACATGTGTAAATGACTGTGTTGTAAAGTGCCTTTGGGGATTGTACTGTAGATGATAATGATAACTGATAAATGACCCACACTTGTATAGCGCCTCTCAGAGTAAGGACTCCAAAGCGCTTTACACTACAGTGTATCATTCATCCATTCACACGCTCATTCACACACTGATGGTGATGAGCTACGATGTAGCTACAGCTGCCCTGGGGCGCACTGACAGAGGCGAGGCTGTCGAGCACAGGCGCCACCGGTCCCTCCGACCATCGCCAGCAGGCAAGGGGGGTTAAGTGTCTTGCCCAAGGACACAACAGCAGAATTCTCTGTCCGGAGCCGGGATCGAGCCTGCAACCTTCCGATTACTGGACAATCCGCTCAACCTGTTGAGCTACTGCTGCCCCAAGATGTAGATGACGCTACATCAAATACAGAATTAAATCAAAATCCAGAAGAAAACAAATAAAAAAAC